TCCTCCGAGACGCAGTGGCCCTGAACAAAGGCAGGGAGGGAGGATGACTGGATTCATCCAAGCCAGGGACATACAGGTGTATATAGCATAGATGTATATAGCATGGATATATATAGCATAGATGTATATACCATAGCTGAGCATGGGTGCGCAGAGGGGACCGGGAGACGCTCGTCGATATGCCGATGTCACCGCCCATGTTGCCCCAGCACTGAATGCATCGTCACCACTGCTTAAAACGACGGCAATCGCGGCTCGCCCCGAGCTCGAACAGCTGCCAGTCTCGCACGAGAAATGGTTCCAACGCAACAACATTCGGCCGAGACAGGGGCGACATTCTCTCGTGCGAGAAGCTGGCACTCAAAGGTACGCACGGTCGTCGCTTGCTCGCCGTCCTCATAAATTGTCAGTCGTTCCGTCGTCCACCCTGAACTTTTGTGGCAGGACACCCTCTCTTGCAGGAATGCAGCATGCTGTGCGACCAGCCTTCGCTGGCTGGCTGCTCCACGTTACGAGGACAAGTGATCGGGGAGAATGAATGGATCGACCTTGGGCGCGCAGCTCCGTTGTCATCATGTGCGGCAAGTTGGACGAGCTTCCTGGTGACGTGGGCGTTCGCTTGCGGGAGCTTGCTTCCATTCTATTCTCAAGAGACACGCATGCTCTTCTGCACACCTAAAGAGCATTCGTGAAACTGTCAGAACCAACCTTGGCTTCCTCTGCCTCCGCATATTCCAGCACGCGCTGCATCTGGACCCGACATTCTCTAAACAATTTCCCTCTTGAGATAGGCCGCTGGCAGAAGATTTCGCGTGCGTTTCCTTGACAAGCAGAGGCCAACAGGCGAATTCCTCGCGCACCATACTCCTGGATATCGCCAGCGCCTGGAGTGGACTTCCACGGGAGAATTGCTTGGGACCTTGGGCTCGGACTTCTGGGAACCACTGGTTGCCAGGCTTCAAATGCCACCATATCGAACCAAATATCCAGGCACGAGATCTATGAAGCGGCGAAGACCTCTGTATGAACTTGGTCAATGTGTCACCGGGGTTCCCCGGCAGGTAATTTTGGCCAAATGAAAGTGCTTTGGACCTAGGCGACACCATGGGCTGAATCGCTCTAGACTTCCCGGCGAACAGCGAGAATGCTGAAGCCCGACCGGCAGCCAGCTCTGCACCGGGTCGACCGACCGCAAAACTGCTCGATGGATATGTCAACTCCAAGTTGCGGTCGATGACGGATTTGTGTCTGAAATGAGCACATTCACGCTTTACTGATTCTAGCAACACTGAAGCCTGGCGCACAGCCTGTGCTCTCTTCGAGTCAATTCAGAAGCCCTCCCCCTTTCGCGGCCCATCCCCGGCTTCTCTTCAAAGCATCGGCTTCATGACGTATCTTCGCTGCTCTGGCGCCTGATCTTAGCAAAATCGCCACATACGAGCTGCTTCAACACAATGACGAACAAGGCTTTGCTGGGCCAATTCACATCCTCGTGGAGGAGCAGCAGATTCAATTTGACGACGACCTGTGCAGCAAGGTAATCAAGAATCGGCTGTCAATATGGGCGTGTCTATGGCCAGTTGACAAAGAGGTTATCCTGCACATTACCGATCTGTTTGGGGATGTTTTCACGCGGTTGCATGTTCCCACAGCCGCGTGCCGCTTTCGACTATACCGCTTGGGCTTTGGGGACCTAGACGTGTCCGTCAATGAAATCTTTCAAAGCATATTCCCTGCTTCATGGCTCGAAGCTGCCGAGAAGCCACTACGTGCCCCGTTTTCCTCTTTATGCCTGGTTGGGTTATGGGGCCATCGCTTGGCCATTGTGGTGCCCTGAGGACGATCATGTTCCTGAAATGGATGGGTCACCTTCGGTCTCATGTTGGCCCTGAATCGCGCCGTCCTCCTTTGGGGGAAGAGGCTACGACTCAATCCACTATGCGCCCGGTCGCGTAGCAGTCATGCCAAAGTCCGGCATCGAAACGTCCCATGTCAATATGACGCGTGTAGGTTTGCGTCAAATCATGGTAGGCTTCAACTGCCCTCACAGGTGCGCTAGAGGGTATGGCTTTCTCGAAAATGGATAGCGTCCGCTATACAGCTTTAAGGACAAGGCTTTCGCCTACGTCGCTTTAAACATCGCCACTTCCAATGTCCATCCGCTTGTCCATCGCCCCATCCCGCGCAAGGCTCCCAGAGTCATCGTGAATGGGTTGAGGCCATCGAGTCGAGAGGCGAGCACCTGACGCGGAGGTACACCCTCTCTCAGGACCATTGTGCTCTGGCCCTGCGCCGGAAAACTGGTAGCGTGGATGACACAGCACCCGAGTCGCACTGGTATTGGGATTTGTGCTGCTTTCATCGGTACCCCATCGAAAAGGTCACTTGAGCGGCGCGCCCATCAACACCAAGCACCAACATAAGACAGGGCTGCGTTGAACAAAATTGACGCTGCAGACGCCTGGTTGTACGGCAACGCCGTCCTCCACTTTACGATGCTGGCCCAAGTTCAGGTCTCCGTGAGGAGCCGAGAAGGAGAAGAGAAGCTGCCAGCGGCTTGCGCAACGCGGCTTTACGATTGATGCGATGAGGCGCTCTTCTCTGAACGCGACAACCCTGACCAGCCGCCTTGGATGGACAAGGTCTGGCGCTGCATTTGGCAGCGGAAAGTCAGCGGTATCATTCCCAAATCAGAGGGAAAGACCGAATCGAATGAGAATAAGGCGCTTCTTCATCTCCTACTGCCGCTGGTGCAGCTGATCTGCGTCCGTCACCTGCTATTCTTCATGCCGTGTGGCACTTGATTCGGACGCGCCCTTTCCGCACAGCGGCGATGCGTTCGGAGGATGGGCGATACGTTCAGGTTGGGGTCATGGTCATCGATATCCCTGCTTCTATGCCGGTCTGAGGCGCAAGAGGAAAGACGCCTTTCTGATTTGTGTCTCGGCAAGCATCCGGCGCGCACAGTGTCGAATTGTCCACAACAAAGCGATGAATACATAGTCTCAACCAACATTTACTCTGGTCTATATTATAGCGCAAGCTTCACTCAATCAGTGTTCCGCTTGCAGGTCACTTCCGTTCGCCTGAATATGGAAAAGGCTTTGCGATTCGAAAGCAAGGATAAAAATATAATGCAGCGGTCCTCTGAAGCGTCCATAGTGAGTTGAGTCCATACCGTCAGAGGGTTAGAGGCAGTGCAGAGGAAATTCTTCTATGCGCGAGAAATCCTCAGCAGCATCTCTGTGCTAACCGATCCTTTCCCAAGGACCATGCAGCGCGCGACAACCCCAGACGTTGATTCCAACTCCCAGTCGTCGATCTGCTCAAACTTGAAAGCATGAATCAGCTTCATCAGAAGCGCTTCGCCTTCCCCAAGTGGAAATCTGCGGGGATGACAGACTTGGCATGAGCTGTGTGGCAATTGAACCGTAATATGGCCGGCGATGGAACCCACTGATTGCCGGTGCAACATCTTGGGCCCGAAAGGAAGGAGAGAACTTGCGTGTGAAACCCCGTGCCATTCATTGTCTGTGGAACATCGAACCAGATATGCCCAAGTCCCTGTACACAAAGTCATCAGAGCCAAGCTCGAGGGTCCAGAGCTTGACAGCATGGCCATCAGGTTCTCCCCTCATGGTCGGGCTGTCGCCGAGGAGGGAATGAGATACCACCGGCTTCGATGGCGGACGGCAGGAAAGTGTGCGTAAGGCTGATGCCAAAGATATTGACCATGATGATGCGGGAAACAGATGGCATAAGTAGAGGATTCAAACGAGGGGTGTGCCGCAAAGGGCAGTGATGAGGATCCCGAGAAACCCCATGCTGTGCCAGAGCAACTCCATGGCGGACGATGGCACGCTTGGACGCGAGGATCATTCCAAGTCACGACTGAGCGAGCCGATTCGTCAGTTCAATGTCGAACAATAACAAATTGAATAGGTACTTCTGGGTGGAAAGCGCTGATGGGCACTACATTTATCGCCCCGTGGGGCGAAGAGAATCAGTACATCATGGATGTCCAGCCAAGCATGAACGAGGCCGCATGACAATTGCCAAATATGGTTCGATTTGGTTGACGCCTCTCGAGTCGAGGATATCATGGAGACGATGAGACTTCCTTTGACCAATTTGGAGTGTGGAAGGTATCTTTATGATTACATAATCACCGACCCATCTTGTTATTCGTTGTCGCTGCCCGTTGGACAACGCTGACTTGTTCTCATTTTCATCCATCTTCCTTTTAGCGTCCAACTTGGTCGTCCAATGACACGAGACTACAAGCAACACAGCGCGCTGCATCCGTTTCCCTTCGACTCTCGGGACGCCGTGCTCCTCTTTTGGCCCTTCTGAAGACCCTGTTCGCTTTCACACAGATGGCGTCTCTTCTTGCAAATTACGCCTCGGACAGTGACGACGATAAATCCAATGTTGGAGGTCCAAGCCGGCCCGCCGAACGAATGCCTCAAAGCCCCACATCTTGCAGCGATGGCGTAAATGCAGATCAAAACGACGAAGAAGAAGAAGATGATGATGACGATGACGAGCCGTTCGACCCAACCAACTTTGGGCTCAAACGCGTCGTTCCGGTGGCGGCAGGCCCAGGCGCTAGTGATGCGCACATTGGAGAAAGCAGGAATGGTAGAAAATCAAAGCGGAGAAAGGGCAACGAAGATGGAAGCGGATCTGTAACTTGGCCTGCGGCTGGGCCGTCAGGGAGCTCGTCGAACGCGCTAATAGTGGCTGCGCCAGATGTAGAGCCAGAGGTGAGTACAATTTAGGGTCTTCTGCTGCGTAAAGTGATGCTGAGGTCTCTTAATTCACCTGGATGTAGGCGGATGACCCATCTACAGAGATGCTTCTGCGACCGACTGACACCGTGATGAATGTGAATCTACCATACGAAGCGATGACCGCACCGATCCTCGGGCCTTCTAACCCATACTCAACGCGGAAGCTCGGCGCGCAACAAAACACGCTAGGCGGCCACGTTGAACAAGCGCATATCAGCGAATTCGACTTTGCGAACCAGCAGCGCTCGTTCGACACACTTGGATACGCATACGACCCATCGACCATTCATGCTGGCACAGGTGCTCTCGTCGGGGACGCGCAGAAGGCCGCTGCGAGAAACGTTGCGTTGGCATTTGACCACAACTCAGGCTTGCCAAATACTGTCTTGCGCAATCGTACCAAGGAGATGAAAGCGAAGCGCCAAGCTCGGCAGGGCGATCCGAGCGTTGTTGAGGGTGACGGAGCATATGTGGGGCCCTGGGGTGGATGGGAAGGCGAGAACGTCCACGTACCTGATGGAGTTGGGCCCAGCGAGGAGGAGCTCAAAGCGGCTGAAGAACGGAAAGCACAGCGACAGAGTGAGAAGGAAAAGTCCAAAGAGAAGCGAGAGAAACAAGAGCAGATCGGGACTGAGAAGAGCATCTTTCATGGTGAGTCTCACAATTGCTTTCATTGCTTCTTTTATTCTAACCGTACCTGACTTCGAATCTGGTGTCTTCCCTGCCTTCGCGTGCGCTTCTTCAGGCAAGTCCATGTATGACTATCAAGGGCGGACATATATGCATATCCCGACCGATGTCGACACGAATCTACTGGGCGAGGCAGGCACGCAGACCTGCTACCTTCCCAAAGGCTGCCTGCACGAATTCAAGGGGCACAATAAAGGCATCAGCGCCATCCGGCTTTTCCCCCAATCAGGGCATCTCATGCTGTCCGCTTCGATGGACACGAAGGTCAAGCTCTGGGACATCTACCACGAAGGCAACTGCTTGCGCACATTCATGGGTCACAACAACGCCGTACGTGATATCACCTTCAGCAACGATGGTCGCCGCTTCTTGTCAGCCGGGTACGATCGCCAGGTGAAGCTGTGGGATACCGAGACGGGCGCATGCCTGAAGGCATTCTCGAATGGCAAAATCCCGTATTGTATCAAGTTCCATCCAGATGAGGACAAGCAGCACATTTTCCTCGCAGGCATGTCCGATAAGAAAATTGTGCAGTGGGACACCAAGAGCAAGGAAATCACGCAAGAGTATGACCAACATCTCGGCCCAGTGAACTCGATCACGTTCGTTGATGAGAATCGCAGGTTCGTCACGACAAGTGACGACAAGACGATGCGCGCGTGGGACTTCGATATTCCTGTCGTCATCAAGTACATTGCAGATCCGACTATGTACTCAATGCCCAGCGTCACCCTCTCGCCAAATAGTGAGTCACCTTTCCCCACTTGGCTTTGCTGAACATGTGGTCTCTTTCGTATGAGGTAGTGCTGACGACGCATTCTCCATTTTTAACAGAGAAATGGCTCGGCTGCCAGTCGCTCGACAACCAAGTGCTCATCTACGCCGCCGACTCTTTCCGGCAAAACAGGAAGAAGATCTTCAAAGGTCACAACGTCGCGGGATTCGCCTGCCAAGTCGGCTTTAGCCCGGACGGCCGATTCGTCAGCTCGGGCGACAGCGAGGGTAACCTCGTATTCTGGGACTGGAAGAGCGGCCGGACGCTGAAGAGGATACGTGCACATCGAGAGGTCGTCATCACGCATGAGTGGCTGCCGCACGAGACGGTGAGTTGCTGATCGGAGTGCCGACTCGAAGGAAACGCCTAGCCCGCTCCTGTACACCCTTGCTGACTGCATCTCTTTTCATTTCCACAGTCAAAGGTGCTCACCGGTTCGTGGGACGGGTTGATCAAGCTATGGGAATGAACGAGCCATCTCCGCAGAAGCTGCAACTGTAACATATGCACTCTTTTGTTGGACTTCTCTTGCCTTCTAGCGTGTACTCAAAGGGCTTGCATACAAGCAGATCGAAGCCGCCCGTCGCGACTGGCAACTATATCCGCGGCGCCGCGACCGTGTCCAAGTGCACGCGCACCTCCTTGACGCCCTTCACTGCCGCCGTGAGCGCCTTCTTGACGGCCTGCTCGATGTCACGCGCCTTGCTGAGCAACATGTCCGGCGGCAGGAGCAGTGTGACGTCGACAAACGTCGAGACGCCGCTCTTGACGGCTCGTAAGTCTCTCCAGGTGATGAGCAGCTGCTGCCCTAGCGTCTGCTGAACCCCTGCCAACGCCGCGTCGAAGTCGCGCAGGACGGACGGCTCGACGCCGCGGTCGGAGAGCTCGCCTAGTGCACTGATAAGCAGGCCCGCACCTTGCTTGCCGATCAGACCCGCGACGAGGAGACCGCCCAGTGGGTCGAGAATCGGGAAGCCGAGCCATGATCCGCCGATTGCCAGGAAGGTGATGCCCGATGAGAGGCTATCAGAGCGATGGTGTAGCGCATTTGCCTGTGGGTGTGTACAAATGGATTGGTGTCAGCCTTCAATCAAAGGTTGGACGATGTTGCAGCATCGATGCGGACCCACCTCAAGCACGCTGCTGTTCTCCTCCCGCGCAATCTTGAGCGTAGCCCAGTAGAGCCATTCCTTGACGACGACGCTGAGCAATGCAAACCACATGGCGTTGGGGTCCAGTGTGCCCGCATCGCCATGCTCGTGCAGGGAGGAGCCGGCATGCGCGATGCTGCCAGTAAAGTGTCCAATCGCCTGTATAGCCGCGGGTGCGTTCTGCAATGTTGGCTGGAGCGCCTCAAGCAGCAGGCCATAGGAGTGGAAGCCGATACCGACTGCGCCAGCGACGAGGACGAGGCTGACGCCAAGCGAACCCATCGTCTCATACTTGCCGTAACCAAGCGGGTGCGTCGCACTCGCAGGTTTCTGGGACATCTTCCAGCAGAAGAGCGTGACGATGTCGGCGAACATGTCGCTGAACGAGTGCGCGGCGTCCGCGAGGAGCGAGGCAGAGTTGAGATAGACGCCTGCGATGCCTTTGCTGGCGCACAGAGCAATGTTCGATGCGAGGCCGATGACAGTGATGTTGCTCCCGCGGTCGCCTTTGCCTTGGAGGGCTGCTAGGAGTTTGTCCGCCTCCTCGACGCTGCCTTCGTGTGCATGGTCATGGTGATGTCCAAACGCGCGGTGCGAGTGCGAGTGTGCATGTGGATGCGCGTGCCCTTCCTTCTCGGCGCTGTTGCTATTTGCAGCTGTCCTCTGCCTGATGCCTGACTCTTGAGCCATCGTGTCGGATAATGTTGCGTGCTCGGCCGTTGCTGCTTGTGAGCTCGTGGTCGATGTGCTTCCGACACGGTCAAGCTTTCGAAACGCACTCGTCTCGCTTTCACTCAGGGCACCCGTCGCGGTGACGGTCAGATAAAAGCAGAACAGGCTCGTCGGTGGGTGTCGTGCAGTGTTGATGCGTGCATACAGCGCGTGGCTCGTTGGTTCGGATGAAAATCTCGGTCCGCCTACAGATGATGCCAAGCGGCGATTAAGTCGTCCTCGAGGCGCTCGTAGGGCACAAGTCGTGGTGGGCCTCTGGAGGGGGAGGCGAAGCAGCTCGGTGTTCTGCCTTCGCTGCCGTGTTGGGATCCTCAGTAGCTGTAGAGAAGCCGACGTCGCCAGTGGCAGAGTGAGAGTGAAATAACTCGGGCGCGATGATTGCTCGCGGCGCAGGCGGGTCGTTTGTGATGGGTGTCGACTTGAACCTGCAAGCTCTCGAAGTTGCACGAGAAGGGTAGGATCTATAAGCAGGGGTGATACTCGATCTCAATTGAGAGAACTGCAGTTGTGACTGAGATGCGAGCTGAGCCGCGGCCGCAGTTGTCTGCTTATTGGTAGCGACGACTTGTACAGCACGGGGCAGTTCACCACCTGGCGGGGTAGTATGGGCAAGGACAGTATGCAGGACGAGGGCAGGCCCTGTAGAGAGAGTACCACACGCTGGTAGGCACTTGCATGTGCAGAACTTGGTGCACCCTATACGTCGAGCCCAGAGCAAGACCTCGGTTCAAACACGACCACGACTTTGAATGGGAGCCGGCTATGAGCAACAAGCAAGCAAGCGCATGAGGTTGTCGCGGCTGCGTCTCTCGTTTTGTGTGGCGCCCGCACAGCGCTTCACCAGCCAATTCGGCTCTCAACTACAGACAGCCGCGAGCCAAAACTGATCCGACACTGGAGGGGCCTTCTATGCACATGCTACCTGTACCATTCGGGCATTTGGTGGTCTGAGTGAGAGTACCAATGCCGACTTCGTCCGGCTCATTAAACAGTGCAACAGGCGGAGAGGCTTTTGCCAATGTCATATCTTGTGCCGAGCCGCGCATGGAGCAGAGGGCTGCGGAGGGGCAACGAGATATCCCAGGTGGAGTGGAAGCAGATATGTTACATATAGCAAGCAGAGAAATAGTTCAGATCGTCGTTGACACCCAGATGGCAAGCAAAAGGCTGCATCGATCCGAAGCAGAGCCATTCAATCCATGCAACAAGTCAAGCAATGCAGTCTTCCCAGTGATTTGTGATACCAGAGTGTGGCGTTCGTCGCTCAGTCTGCGATGTATGCGCAAAGGCGCGGTCAGCCTTGGTTCCGTTGCGCGCCCAGAGCACACATTTTTCGTGACTCACGTCCGACCGCCTTGGGTGCCATCGTGCCTCTCTTCCTCCGCTCCTCGAGCGAAAGCTTCTCGTGCTCGTACAGCGGCTCGGGCGCCTGCAGTTGCTGCCTCGCCGCGCTGCCGCAAAACAGCGCCTTCTTGGTAAAGTACGGCAGGTGTCGCATGTGATAGCTCGCGTGCTCCCGGTGCGAGACGCTGAAGACGCTGTCCAGCTCCTCAAGCGACAGTGCGCGCGTCTCGGGAAGGAAGAAGTAGGTGTACACCAGGCCGAACACGTTCCAAGCCGCGTACTGACCAATCCCAATGGAAGAGATAGGTTATCAGCCCAACATTACCCTTCGTTTTGAAGCTCAGCGCGGACGGATACGGACCCAGCAGAATGCACCAGTAGATCCCCACGCACGCACAAGCGACGGCCATGTGAGCGAAAGCACCCCGTTGAAGAACCACTAAATAAGGGGCATAGCAATCCAGAGTCAGCCGAATAGGAATGAAATCAGAGATGGCGCAAACTACTTACGCAGACCGACGTAGCCCAGGACATGCCGCTGTCCCTGACTGCAAGTGGGAAGCTCTCGGCACTCTAGGGGAATCCACGGTTGAGATGATTTGTTAGCAAGACTCGTATCCAGGCAGCATGTCCACGAATCGCATTCGAACCGGCATCTGCTCACCATGGTGAAAGGGATGGGACCCTCGGTGGGCGAGTAAGCAATACAGTGCAGATAGATGCCGATCGCGACGCACGCGACACGCGCCTTGCTAGTCGGATCGTCCTGCTCGATCAGAAAGGAAAACGCTGTGAAGAAGAGCGCGGCAGACATTGCGGGAAAGCCGACTAGGAGCAGGTTACGACGGCCAAACGTGTCGATGGTGAAGATGCCCGGGATACCAACTGTGATCAGAAAAAGGCATACCGTGCGACAGTCAGCCTTATTCGCCCGAATGCACCCTTTCCAGATGATGCTCACAGAGGAAGTTGAGGGCTCCGAAGCCGAGACTTGCACCCAGTGCAGCGAGTTGCGAGGCGCCAGCCTGCAAGAAACAAGGCACCGGTCGATATGAGCCGCTGAGACACATTAACAACGCGGAAGAAGGCGAACTGACCTGAGAAAAGATCACGGATCCAAAGTATGCAACGACATTGATTCCGCAAAACTGCCGAAGAATCCATTATAAGAATGTATTTTCCACGTGAACCCCGGCCCTGGAGCCGCCAAACTCACCTGCTGCATGAACATGACAAACGTCGCGGTCGCGAGGCCTTTGCGAATACGGGGCGTGCTGAACAGCTCAAACATGCTGGGGGTGCGCTGATGGCTGCGCGCGCCCCTGTTGCGCACCTCGACCTCCTTCTCGGCCTCGAGGCTCTCGTACGCGAGGTACGTCTCGCGCGCCGCTTGCAGCGGCGTTGAGCGGAGTCGCGAAAAGGCCGTGTACGCGTCTGCGTAGCGCTCTTTCATCAAGTACCAGCGCGGCGACTCAGGGTTCAGGAAGACAAGCGACATGACGACGAGCGCGGGAATGCCCGCGGAGCTGAGCATGATGCGCCAGTTCAGCCCGTCGATGCCGGAGCGGTCAGGAATCGGGTAGAAGGCCATGTCCGCGACATAGCCCAGCATGATGCCGAACGCGGTCCAGAGCTGCCATTGCATCACCAGGCCGCCTCGGATCGCAGGCGGCGTCGACTCAGCCGCGTAGACGGGTACCGTTGACGATTTGGGCCCGATGCCAAAGCCGAGAAAGACGCGTGAGATGAGCAGATGCCACCACGAATTGGTGAAGGCTGCCCAGAGGCAGCTATGGGCGTGTACCCAACGAGCATGATGTCAGCAACGAAAGCGAAGCGATCAAAAACATCCGCCGGCTTCGCTCACGTAATGAATGCGATGCTGCATGTGATGAAGATTGTCCCTCGACGCCCAAAGTAGCGGTTGAGCGGCGCAGTGAACCAGCTGGCGAGTAGCGCGCAGGAAAAGTACGGTGCCGAGTTAACGATCCCTTTTAGCCATTCGTTGCGGTCCGTCTCCTCGCTGATGCCGAAGGTTGCAGGCCAGAACTGAAAATTGAAAATGAGCCCACGTCAGCAATGTTGGGCTTGCAGAAGGCGCACCCTAGCAGGGCTTACCAGGTTCGCTCCGCTGATGACACTCTGGTCCATTCCTTGCACGACTGCGGCGAGCGAGCAGCAGACGACAAGGGCATATAATGTCTTGGGCTGCTGCCACTTGTTTCGTATTTCCCGTCTGAGCACCTTGCGGTCCTCGTCATCAAGCTCGGGGATGTCTTCGAACGCAAAATGTGTCCTCTCGTCCTCGCTGATCTTGGCATTCTCCTGCGCGTCCTCAGCGCCACCGCTGCCACTGCTTGCGCCGGTGGAGGACCACGCCACAAGCGCAGCTTTGACGAATGTCTGCACAAGCGCGGGGTCGTTGCGAAATTGTGCCAGATCGGTCGCAAAGTATCGCGCACGCTGAATGACCTGCTCGCGCGTGAACGCCTTGAGAGGGTTGACCAACTTGAGGTTGTCGTTGATCTCGGCGTCGTAGACACCTAGCTCGGCTTGTCCCTCGTGTGTCTGGGGGACCTTCTCTGGGTCTGTATCGTAGGTGGCGCCTGCGATGTTTGAGCTGGAGAGCTTAGCATCGACCTTGTCCTCCTCGGGGATGGGCAATGTGTCGGGCGCATGGCGGCCGTGACCGTGCAGCGAGTCGGGTGGCGTCGACCGGTTGTCTGGATAGAACGCCATCTTTGTGAGCGAAGAGCAGAAATTCCACCCCAAAGTGGAGGTGCAGTAAAGCAAGAGTAAAGCGGAATACCCTCTATGTGCTAGAAGGGGGCCAAACAGAGCAGTTTTAAATGGATTAGCTACTGGGGCCGTCCTTTATGGACGCCCATCGAGGCTGGGGTTATGGCCCCAGTCGCTCAGCTTCCTCTTCCCCGACGACCCTCCTTCAGCAACGTGCCAAGAACATCGTCACTGGAGAGAAGCAGGAAGAGGAGAGCCCACAAAGGTACACTCGGTGTCGGGCGGGTACTGCATCAGTCCGGCCCTCCTGCGAGTGCACATCCCGACACCTGGATCCTGGGCCGACAATGTATGTATGTGTCAAACACGACCTTAGCCTGTCACATCAAAGGCCCCATTTTTGGAGACCTTGAAGGGGACCTGTGGGGAAATCAATCAGTGGATGATTGAAGAAAGGACGCCCAGTGCGGAGAGTTCCTGAGTATGTGGGGCTAAAAGGGGGGCGGATGAGTTCTTAAAGCAGAGATGGCCAAAGACGAGAGGTTGACACCTTCTCGCCTCCTTCTTCCAGCCAAGTCTTCTAATGGCAAGCGTGTGGGGAACAGGTTTCGTTCTAGCGAGCCGACAACGAGTTTTAGGCAAGGGATGGATCGTTCGTCCCTGTAAAGCGTAAGCAGCAGGCAAAGCCAAGACTGCACGTCGACGGCCAAGACTGCACCCTGGATGTTGAGGTACCTGCTTATTTCGAGCAGAGTACCACTGGAAGGCATATTCCCCCTTTTCCCCTTCCGAAAGCATAGCGCCAATAAGGATGAAGGTCGACTATGACCTCATCTATCGTACGGAACGGAACATCACCATGCATCATAATTGTGCAATGAGACTGAGGGAGGAGAGGAAAGAGAGAAAGCCAAGAGTTGCAAATAGATTCTCGGCGAACTCTTGTCCTTAGATTAGGTAATGCATTGCGGATGTGCATCATTACGTACGCAGATTTTCGCGAGCTCGCTCTGCCAACAATATCTTTTTGTTTTCTGTTGGTTGTGCGGTGGTCATTACTAAGATGTTTGGGGTCGCATAAGTTGGCCGGCGAGAGGTCATAGAAAAGCAGATTCACGCTACATTAACGTCGGAAAACAAAAGATGGTGTCCTTCAAGTGAGTCTCATTGTTCCTATCGCCTCTCGTTGAAGCGGCCGTTGTCGTCCTCAGCTGATTGATTTTCTGATCTTGTCACTCGCCTCGCTCATGCCGTTCAATTGCTCTCCTTATCGTCCTGAACCACCTCCGTGCGCAAATCAAGCTGCGACGGCTGCGGTGACGTCGTAAAGAAGCCAAAGCTTGACCAGCATTTTAATTCGCGCTGTCATGCCCCATTCACGTGCCTGGACTGCTCGACGCAGTTCTCGTTTCCAGGACAGTGGAAGAGTCACACGAGTTGCATAAGCGAGGAGCAAAAGTATCATAAAAGGTATGTGAATTTCTTATATAACCGCTTTGCATGGTGTGCTAATGCGAAAAATCAATGTGTCTCTTCTGACGGCAGCGTGTACAAGGAGCCAAAGGGCAAGAAAGGCAAGAATGTTGGCGGGGACCATGCCCTTCCCAACGGGCATACCGCAAATGGATCTGTTCAATCTATTCCAAGTGCCAGTTCGCAAGAAGCGTCTTCATCCACGCCAGTGACAGCCGCTCAAGACAAGCAAAAACAAACGCAGGAAAAGCGAAAGCGTGATTCTGAAATTGCCACTCCATCGATCTCCTTGGATGCGGAGACCAGCGAAGTGACAGCTGCAAGGGAAGAAGATAAGACGGTAAAGAAGCAAAAGAAGGAGAAACCCAAGGGGAAAGAGAAGGAGAAGAAGGAAAAGGGTAACAAGATGAGCAAAAAGTCGAAAGCTGACGAAGAAGCAGGGAGCAATGCTGAAGGAAATGGGCATCAGCCCGGATCGACATCCGCAAATGGCGTGAGCAAGGAAGACACCATCCGCACCACGTTGAAGGAAGCGATGGTCGAGTTCAGCGGTGATGCATTGGTCTCGTCGATGTCACTCCGTGGCCTTCTCGAAAGCGTCGCGTCCAAAGCACAAGCGAAAAGTGCAGCGATCACCCAAGAGGAAGTACAAGACGCTTTGCGGGTACAATGGTGTAAGAAGAAAGAGCATCTTTCTCTTACTGTCTTTTGAACTGCGAGCAGTGGAACTTGCGCGTTCGTATTGCACCGGTAAAAATTAGACAAGCAAGTCAAGCTTCCTCAACATTTTGTCGTATAAATTGCGATTGCTATTTCATCATCTGCTTTGTCCTCTTACAATGATAACTCTAGACTCCATCATCAAGCATCTGTCTACTCTCCGTTGCTGCTCTAGAGGAGACGTTGTGCTCTCCTCCCAACTGTCATCGTTCCTCCTACAACGCGAGTCGAAGCACCTTGCTCGCGAGCAGCACCACCTGGCTCAGTTGTGCCACAGTCGCTTGCGACAGCGTCGCATCCGCGGACGAAGCGACCAGTACCGAGCTCGCTTGGTCCATCAGGCCCTCCGCGGCGGGAGCGAGAGCGCGAGGATCTTCTCCTGTATTTTCAAGAACCTGCAGGTCCTGCTGCAAGCGCGCCACGTCCAAAGGCGCTTCGGTGCTGGCGCCCCTCGCGTGAGCCAGCAGCTTCTCCCCTTCACGCTTCAGATCCGCCAGCGCCGTGCTGAGTGCAGGGCGAGCTGCAGGCTCTGCGGCGGCACTGACGTTTTGGCCTTTGCTCACCAAGACGGTAGCATTACTATTCCCAAGCACGCGCCCAGCGCCGATGAGCTCCTTCAGCTCGCTCTCGCCCAGCACAGACTCAAGCTGGCTGAGGTTGCTCGCCGTGCTCGCTGTACGCGTCAGCGTCGCGGGTGGCGTAGCAGTGGTGCTGCGCCACAGGTCGTTCCGGAGATGCGGTGGTGCTTTCAATGCCTGTTGGGAGTGCTGAGCGTGAACGTGAGAAGGATGAGTGAAGGATGCTGGCGTAGACGGTGCAGGTGAAGAGGGCTGCGAGGGGCCGCCTGCGTCTGCACAGTGACGATGGCGGTTGTGATCTTTTTCGTGCAGGTGCAGCGGCCGCGGATAGGTCCGTTCCTTCACCTCCTCGGGTGGCAGCTCAAGCATGTGGCCCATCCTCTCCACTTTGGTCCGGAGGTACTTTTCCAGCTCCGGTCCTCGTGTGACACTCCCGCCAAGCATCGTCGCGCCGCTGCGCCGCAGCGCGTGCTCGACGTATGAGTCGACCGAGGAACCCGAGTCCGATGCGCTAGTACCGCCATCATCGCCAAGCTCGGCCGCTGCCCCCTCGTCGCCGCTGAGGCTGTGTGGAGAGACGTGGTGGGACGCGAGGTCGTCCGCGTCGACGTCTTGGGGGTGGGCATCGTCATTGTCGAACTGTGAAATAATTGAGTGTTGCAAATGTGAGCTCTCCTTGGTCCTCGGTGAGCGCTTCGGAGTGAGAACGCGTCCAGCGACACCGCCCCCGTTTGCCAGCTTCTGTTGCGAGGCCTGCTTCACCCTGTGCCGCTGTCTCCTCATGCCAGCAGCTGAAGACGAGCTGGAACCGACAGCAGCAGCACCAAAGGCGGCGGCGGCGGTAAGCTTGCGCATCTTGCGCGTGCTGCGTCTCCACATGCGCGGCACCATCGCGACGCGCTCTGTCACGCGGACGCCCTCTGCCTCGAGCGCCTCCATCTTTTCCGGGTTGTTCGTCAGCAACCGACACTCATCAACACCAAGGTCGCGCAAGATGGCGCTGGCAATGTCGTATTTGCGCGCATCAGGCAAGTGTCCAAGCAAGACGTTCGCCGAGACAGTGTCATGGCCCATGTCTTGCAGGTTGTACGCCATCAGCTTGTCAAGCAGCCCGATGCCGCGACCTTCCTGGCGCAGGTAGACAACCACACCGCGCGGCTTGCCCGACGCGTACGAGCGGCCAGAGGAGCAGATAAGACGGATGGCCTCGTCTAGTTGTTCGCCGCAGTCGCACCGCTGCGAGCCGATCGTCTCGCCCGTATAGCATTCGGAATGAATGCGAACAAGCGGCGCTGCGTCGTCTTGTGCTGGTGCTTGCTGGGATGATAAATGCGAAAGAGTGGTGCCCGCGACTCGTGGAGCAACGGTTGCTCGCTGAAAGGTCGGCCCGAGTCTTCCTACGTATGCGCCACGCACGATCCGCTCGATCTCGGTCTCATCTGTGCCCCATCTCTCTTCCAGTGTGCGACTCCTGAGCTTCCCGAGCGGTGTTACCAGTGCCCCCTCTCTTACTTGCTGTTGAGCAAGCCGCATGGCATCCTCATCGTTCTGCTCCCAGTCGACCACAAGCGCAAGGTGCTCCTTGCTGTCATGGTTGTTGCGGTACAGGTGACAGAACACCTCTCCATGCGGCGTCGGCACGCGCGTGCGCGCATAGCATCGCACCGACAATGGTGGCTTTGCACGCACGGAAGAATTTCCGATGAGTTCCAGGGGATACGCTGCGGCGCTAGGCGGAGTCACGTCGCCGGGCAAACATGCAGGGATCGTGGGCGAAATGGCTTGCACCTTCGGTGAAGCGGTGTCCGGGGCGGCTGCCGCTTGCTTTTCCTGTTCGATCGAGAGTGAAAATGGAGAGAACAGTAAGTAAATCTAGAACTTGGAACACTGATGTTGCTCCGAAGGCGCACATACCTGCAATTTTTCTGTCTCTTCTTTCTCTCGAGCTTGCCACCGCTTCTCTTCTTGCAGCCGCTGTTGCTTTTGCTGTAGCTTGACCCGCTCGCTTCTTGGCATCTGGCGCGAGCTATACAGTGCATGCTCCGAGCCGCTCTCCATACCCACCATGGCATCGGTGGAGCCGATGCCTATCACATCCTGCAAGATCTCATTGAGGATTGCTGGGTCTTCTCGAAGTCCGCCTGTAGCAAGGGAAGCGCCAGTCGCAGCAGGTGTCGCCGCACCTGTATCATCATCAAGATCGCAATTCGCATATGATCCTGGACCAGCCGCCGCTGGCGAGTACCGGAGAAGAGAGGACGACGACGAAGAGGTAGACACTCGTCGAGAGCGCTGCATTTGCGACGCGCTTCCCGGCTGTTGCTGCTGTTTCTCGCTCTGCTCCCTAAGCAGCCTGAGCCTCTCCGAGCGGGCCATCTGGCTGCTAAGTCCATGCGCATACCTCGTGCGTACACCCACCGGAAGCTGCGAGTCACCCAGCAGGCCCACGCCGGCAGAGCCGGCAGCGCCGCCTGCCGAGCCGTACGAAGAGTGGTGGAAGTGGTGCCGCGTAACATGTGGGCCGGTCGTCAGGGAAGCCGCCAGCACGATCGGGTCGATAGGCGGCCGACGAAGAGCTGAGAGCGTCGCGAGCGGCCGCTTCTTGGCCACCAAGGAATGAGGGTGAACACGAGGATCTTGGGTGTGCTCGTGAGAGCGGTGGTGGGGATGGGAAGGAGACGAGGAGTCGCCGTCGCTGGGCAGAAGCGACGGCGACCGATGGGTCTCGGTGAGGGCCATGGTCTGTCAGTCAAGCAGCTTCGGGAGCGCCTCACGTGGCCACACTCGAGTCGAGTACAAACACCACGGCCCAGAAATGTGTACCATATTAGGGAGGATTGCATCAAAGAGTATTCCGACAGGCTATTGCGTGAAACCCACGAAGGCGGCGGGGAAGAGCTCGTCCGCGCAAGAGCATATCCGGCTCTCTCGGCCGAGATCTGACTCGAGGCTTCTTGCTTCTTATACCCGAATGCATGTATGCCACCTTGACGAATGAAGAAAGAAAGAAACTAACTGAATGAATGAATGAATGAATGAATGAATGAATGAAAATGAAAGGTGCTTCCAGGTTCATCATCCGGTCGTGCAAGTCAGCATAGACTCGCCCACGCAGTACAAACCTCCTCTGTATTAACCTCATCCGGGAGCGAGGCTGCATAACGTTCAACCCGAGCTCAAGTCCGTGTGCACTATTGTTTTTAAATATGGGAAGCACGAAATGGACAGGGCATCCCTTGAAGTATAATGTGCGCAGCCGGCAGTCGTGCTGAAATCTGATCAAGTGTAGACATCACAGGCATCTACCCAATATTGCACAGATACACTTGCAACGCCTGTAAGCTGGCGCAGTAGACTCCGTTTAACATATCGTTGCTCTACTCGTCATCACCACAAGCCTGCAACATGTCGTCAGACGTCATCATGGAGGTCGGCACCAAGGGTACCATGCACATCAGGATGGAGGCTCAGAAGCGCGAAAACGAGGTCAGGGTATCAGCGAAAAAACATGGTCGTTGGAGCAGCCACCACAACCAAGCGGTTTCTCCCTTGCGTCGCTGCCAAACGTAGATCCAGTAACTGAATCGTAGCTCAGACATGTACCTGCTGGCGTGACGCGACGGCCTGATGCCCGTTTGGGCTTGCGTAGCCGAGCGCGGATAGTCCATCACCTCAGTCGAGGGCTCAGACAGCAAGCGGTGGCAGCTGCGCCAGTGGGAGAACATGGGGGGCTAAGCGTCGTATCTCCTCAGTAATTTCATGGGAATCGACAAGCAGCTGGAGAGCAGCAACACCATGTATGTCAACCTCACGCAGCGCGCCAAGGCGCTTTACGGTACCGCCGCGCTCGCAGCATGGGAGCGGCGAGGTAGTTAGCGCAATGTGTGGCAGTGCTACTTACCTGGCGAGGACTGTGTTCCAGCCATAGCTCGGGCTGATCTGAGGGAGATCGATGCTATATAGTACAAGTGTCCTCATTCCCTTGTGCACACTGCGCAACTTGATAAAGCGTCCAGAGCATGTCATTGATGCAGGTGATTCCTCTGGCTCGCCTCAACTAAAAGGCCATGGACCCTTGGAACGAAGATGCGCTCCAGGCAAGAACTCGCTCATTCAATTCCTCATGATCCACCCTACTGTACATGACTCTACGGCGTGATGATCAGTATAGTGCCAATTGAGAGTTCAGGGGGCTCAATTCTGTCATGCGCATCGATGCAACCTTGCCCAACCTTGCCCAACCTCGCCATACCCTTTCAAGGTGTTGGTGCAGCTATGTCTTCGAAACAAACCCGTACAAGGGACTCCTGGGTATCCTAGACGTATTAAGTTAGCCGCTTCGCTGCCGGCATCTGAGCGTGGTGCAGGTTGCCACATGCAGCGACATCTGCTGGACTGCTGATACAGGATGTCACATGAGGATGGCCAACATTCACTTGCCTCGCCACCATCCCGATTGTTCGCGGGAACCCAACATATACCTCATCCATTAGTTGCGCTCGCTCGCTCTTATGATCTGGACCCAACTACAAAAATATAACGTTGTGCTAAACGCCTCTTCACCCTCTACATGAGCCAAACAGCTTGACCGTCTTCCTCAAAAGAACTGCTCGGCAACTGGCGGACATCGCACCAGGCTTACGCTGGGCATCAAAATCCGCCACACCTCCAAAGGCCTCTTCATGTCACAGCAGCGATACACTGAGGGCCTGCTCGGACGAGCAAAGAATGGAGAGGCACTCAACGTGCTACTGGTACCTGCCATCCGGGTACCAAGCGCAAGACGGAGCGTAGAAGCAAGCTTGGCTCCGGCGAACAGTTGTGATGGTGGCCTGGGTGGCGAACGCTACCTGCCCCGATGTGGCGTCAGCAGTTGGATCAAGCCCGCAGGGCTCGCTGCTTGAATCAGCTGGCTCGCTGCCAGCTGATTCCAAAGCTCTCCATGACCAAGACACTTGACCTACTCTTCAAGAAAGCTAGCGCTGAGAACTGGCATGTGTTGCATCGTCGGATACAAGCCAAAATGCACGCCACAGTCTGTCACCCCTTTCTTTCTTTTTTGGAATAGGCGTCGGAAATGGCGGTAAGCCGGCGCCGGTTAGCGGCTTCAGGGACTTCAGAGGGCTGTTGCTTTCCGATGTGGTGGGTGCAAGCAGTGACCAGCAAGGAGAACTCGAGGCCTTTTCTTCAGTCACTCATTAGCAGAATGCTGCCTAGTCATTGATACATGTTGGGCAACCCAGATCGTGATTATTTCCTGAGATTGGCAAGGACAGTTGAGGCGCGATGGCTGCGAGCAGCTCCGCCGAGGTCTCCCTTCGATGCCAACAAACCGCACTCTCCTTCGGCATCCATGATTTATTGAATCGCCGTCTGAGCTCTCTCCCTGCCCATGGCAGCTTGCGTCGCATCACACTCGCGAAACGCCAGCTGCCGCGTCAGACATGGGCGATACCGTCCGCTTTGCTGCCTCCAGCTCGCGAGAAAAGGAACTACGCCGCGATCGCGAGCTCTCCAGGTTACAAGCCCTGGCCGACTGCCCGCGACGCGAAAGGGAAACTGGTTTCGCGGGTCTCGGGCCCGACGGAAGAAGCTCTCTCCGAAAAATCTCTCGCTTCCTTCTGGAACACGCTCGTCAGCAAGCACGGCGGACGTAGCGCTCTCATCTGCAAGCACGAGCCGCCGGACCAGCATGCGGTTGGCGCGCGCTCAATAGCAAAGGGCGCTGATACAGTTGCAGCGAGCAGTGACTGCCTACGCTGGTCATTCGCGGACATGAACGCGCACATCGACGATCTCGTGCGTGGCCTCTCGCACATTGGCGTGCAAAATGGCTCTATCGTTGCTGTGCTGATGATGAACAACAGCGCGTACGCCGCGCTTCAATGGGCCACGGCAAAGCTCGGTGCAATCCTCGTGACTCTCAACCCCTCTTACTCGGCTCGAGAGCTAGCACATGTGCTCAAGCAAGTTCAAGCGTCGACGCTCGTTCTCGTCCCCGGGCTGCGGACCAGCGACTACCTGGAATCGCTCCAGAAAATACTTCCTGGCCTCGCGTCCGCTTCTGCTGGAACTCATGGCGACAAGACACTCCTGCAGGAGGAAAGTATGCCCTTTTTGAAACGGCTCGTTGTAGTTGACAACCTGAGCGGCAGACCACGGCGCTGGGAGAGTTCCTCACTGCATGTGCAACAGGGCCTGACGTTCGCGGAGGCATTGGGACACTTGTATGGGAAAGCAGTAGATTATCGGGATCTCCTGTCGGAAGGACAGGCTGCCACCAAATCCCACCTGCAGAGCCTACCGGACGTGGACCCATTGCAAGTCATCAATCTTCAGCTCACATCAGGCACCACAGGACGTCCCAAGGCGGTTGCCTTAACTTCGAGGAACCTGTTGAACAATGTGAGAATTCGTTGTTAAGTGGTTTCAAAGCTGACAGATGAATTGAACACCCGCCCTCCTGTAAGGGTATTGCTATCGGCCGCACTTTGCGGATGACACCCGAGGATATCCTCTGCAACGTCCCTCCTCTCTTCCGTGAGCCTTTTCCCTAAGAATGACGTACGAGCCACCGCATTGACTCGTCTCCACTCTTTTCCAGACTGCTTTGGCTTGACTCTGGGCAACCTAGCCGCTTGGTCTCACGGCGCCTGTAGGTACATTATCTTTTGCTTCTTGGCAGAGTCGGCTGTCCTGATTAATGCGTCGAACCTGAATGGTAGCGGTGGTATACTCGGCCGAGGGCTTCGACCCTGTGCGTGCACTACGCGCCGCCTCTGAAGAACGCTGTACCGCCATTAACGGCGTCCCTGCACACTTCATCTCAGAGCTGGAAGTGCTGGACGATATGGCTCTCGCGGCTACAGCTTCTAGCACTGGTCAAGGCCAGACTGCATGCTTGCCCAAGGGCATTGAACAGGGCGAATCGTTCGATCTGTCAAGCTTGAGAACTGGCTTGACGAGCGGAAGCACTGTGCCAATCGAGCTGATGCATCGCATCATGCATACAATCGGCAGCCGCGAGCAGACTGTCGCTTATGGTATGACTGAAACCGTGAGTCGCATTAGGTCCCATCTGCAAGACACGCCTGCCGGCCGGCTGATCTGCTCCACTACGATCCATCATTCTCTCTCTCAGTCTCCTGTCTCCTTCGGCTGCGATGTCGACGCAGCGGTACAGCAGCGTTGCGAGACCATCGGACGCATCTACCCTCACTGCCACGCCAAGATCGTGGATCCCGATGATCCTGACGGAAAGCCGCTACCAGTCGGACAAGCTGGGGAAGTGTGCACGGCAGGTTATATCGTCATGCACGGCTACTGGCAGGAAGAGGCCAAGACGCGCGAAGTCGTCCAGACCCATCGCGACGAGCCAGACATTGCGTGGATGCGCACGGGGGATATGGGCATAATGGATGTGGATGGATACGTGCGGATCGTCGGGCGCAGTAAGGACGTCATCATCCGCGGTGGAGAGTGAGTTGAACAAGACATAGAAGGTGTCCCTAGCGCTGACTCTCCCTGTTGTTTGTCCTTGGCAGGAATTTGTTCCCCGTCATGATTGAGAATTGCGTAGACGAGCTCCCTGGCGTCATGCAGAGCGCTGCTATTGCAGTCCCTTGCCCGAAAATGGGCGAGACGGTCGGGATCTTTGTTGGACGCGCACATGGCGCAGAGGGCAAGAAATTGACTCGCGCGCAGGTTAGGCAGTACGTCAAGGATAACCTCTCTCTGCAGTCTGCGCCTGACTGGATCTGGTGGCTGGGAGAGGACGGCGTTGCGGAGGAGTTGCCCAAAACGGCGTCGGGGAAGGTCAAGAAAGTCGACCTGCGGGCATGGAGTAAGGACCTGGTTGAACAAAGGATTGGAAATGCACGTATGTGATGGCCATGATCAATGGTAAATACTCATATAGCGCACTGAAAGCAAAATCTATGCTTCGTCAAGGCGGGCAATAGAATCGGGAATTCGTGTTCGACAAGCTCATTGCTTCGTCTTGGCTCACAACGAAGGAAATGAATTAGCACACTAATGATTACACCGCAACTTGTGCAGAACTAGGTGTTATGTGTCGGTGAGATTATGCGATGAGGATGCTGTTGAAGTGCACCATACCATGGCCCATGCCACATTGCGCGCGCCAATCGCCCCGCTGACAAGAAGGAAGGATTGCAAGGAATCAATAAAATGGCTAAGATAAGATAAAATTGATACGATAACCCTAAGGCAATGTTCCGGCTTCTGTTGGCAACCCGAACCGGAGAGTGGAGATTCTCAGCTCCTGCAAGTCCAGATTAGAGGAGCGTTGGAACACACTCTAGCTTTCTGCATTGTGACATGTACGTCCGCTCTGGTTGCCGTAGACATCTGCCCAAAGCACCAGTGCAAAGTTGACCGAGCACCGTATTCGTTGCAAGGTCCCCAAGTGCTTTCCTCCGCCACGGCGAGCGTCAAACTTCAGCCGCCTTCGAAGCAAGGGCCGCCGTTTCAAGTGCTTCAACCTCATCCCCCTTTGGTACTCCCTCTCAAAGCTATAGCGAGCCGCCACCTCCAACGAGCCTGCCTGCCATGTCTTCATCACAAGTCAAAGTTCCCTCAGAGCCGTTTGGCTCCGTCCTGCCCTTCGCCGAGCCTGCATGGTACGGGTCGCTGGGTGACACGTCTCCTTTCTACACCGATTCGCACCGTAGGCTTCGAGCGTACTGTCGGGACTACGTCGACAGCTTCAGCCACAAGGCTGGCGAGTGGGAGGACAAGGGCACAATACCGTGAGTAGAACATAATGATGCTCTTCGATTACAGCACTGAATTTTGTTGATCTTATCTCACACGCGCGAGGTGCAGGTCAGCCCAATACCAAGAGCACGCAGCCAGAGGCTTCGTCGCAGCATCGATTCAGCCCTTCCACATTCCATCGCTGAAAGCAGCTGGTATACAACTTCCTGCAAACATCCCTCCTGAAGAATGGGATAATCTGCACAACGTGGTTCTCTTTGATGAGCTGATGCGACACGGCTTCCTTGGCGTCAACTGGGCGCTCGGTGGCGGAAACGGAATCGGCGGCCCGCCACTTGTCAACTTCGGTAGTGAAGACCTGAAACGAGAGCTTTTGCCAGATATTCTGCTGGGTAAAAAGCGGATATGCTTGGTGAGCCATTAGTGAAGAAATGCATGTCACAATAAAAAAGATAAGTTGATCTTCATCCGGTCTGCATTGCAGGGTGTCACGGAGCCGTTGGCCGGCTCGGACGTGGCTGGCATCAAAACAACCGCGGTACGCTCCACCGATGGAAAGCACTACATCATCAATGGCCAGAAGAAATGGATTAGTGAGTCGCCATCTCACGACTTGTTACATTAGGACGCATGCATTTCTGAAATAATCGGTGTTGCAGCAAATGGAGTCTTTGCCGACTATTGCACTACCGTCGTCCGCACAGGAGAGGAGGATTCGGGCGCAGGTGGCATCAGTGTCATTGTGGTTCCTATGCATTTGGAAGGCATCGAGCGGCGTCTGCTCAAGAATAGCGGCGTCAATGTGTCTGGGTCGACAATAATCACATTCGACGACGTCAAGGTCCCCGCACGCTACCTGCTCGGCAAAGAGAACCAGGGCTTCCGCATCGTAATGTCCAACTTCAATGGAGAGCGTCTCGCCTTGGCCGTCTCGGCGCTGCGCATGTCACGCGTCTGCATCGAGGACGCATACGCATACGCGTGCAAGCGGCACACATTTGGAAAGCCGCTGATCGAGCAGCCCATCATTCAATCAAAATTTGCCGACATGGGCCGACGCGTCGAGGCGCTACATGCGTGGATGGAGGCCCTGGCGCATCAAATGCACGCATGCGGCAACACGCCGCAGGGCAAGAAGATCGCAGACATGGAGCTCGGGGGAAGAATCGCGCTGCTCAAAGTCGAGAGCGGATACGTCCTCGAGCTTTGTGTCAGAGAGGCGCAGCAGATCATGGGCGGCCTGGGATACCAGCGCGGTGGTGACCACGCTGGCGCGCGCATTGAACAAATCAGTCGCGACCTCAGGGTGATGGTCGTTGGTGGCGGGTCCGCCGAGATCCGTACGTCCTGCCTTTTTAGTGAAATAGCTTGAAGGGCTGCTGACTGTCTTTTCCTTGCCATTTCCGTCTTTTATTCAGTGTCGTCGCTTGGTGTCAAAATGGAAAAAATGAAGGCAGACGCGCGCCTTTGATCTTTTGGATTGGCGGCTGTACATCCTTTGCTATCCATGTCCACTGATGGAAGCGCTCCTTGCTGGCGCGTTTTGTGTGCAAAAGATATGTACGTTGTTCTTCAGTACAAGGGACTATTAAGTCACTGTCAATGAGAGACTCGATGCATCTGGACACGCCCAAATGGCCTTCCCCAAGTGCGATGAGATACGTGGTGCACGACTGGCCGGATCGCACGTCGGAACTATATCTCCCATGCATTTGATGCACCAAATCCATGCCATGTACAGATGCTCAGAAGGCCACGATCGCCGGTGCATAGATTATACCCGTGGGCTTGAAAGCTTGAACCCAACTCGAAAACCAGGCGGCTGGGAATTGAGATGTGACAAGAGAGACTTCGGCGTGAAACACCTGATGTGCCGCATTTCCGCGTTTTTGGCTGCATGCCACGACAACTTGAACCGAATACTCTTATTGGAAGCTGGTATTGCATATCATCAAAGAGCAGCTCTTGTTACTACTGCCCTTCTCAAGCAGATGTCGCCCACTCTGGATCTGGATTGACTACCACTCAGAGTCAGCCCCGTTGTTGCAGCTGTCTCGAGCTAGCTCCAATTTCCCAGCCCGTCAGCGAGGGGCGGAGCTTTCGCCAGCATGACGCTTGTCTCAAGCGCCCTCGTCAATTTCGGTCGCCTCGCCAGCCTGCTGCAAGTACTTTTCTACCTCCCATTATCGCTCGACTTAGCTGGCACCGAGGCTTTCCTAGCACTTTCAGCCTCGCTGGCCTCATACTACTTTATCTTGTCGACGATACGGCTGATGACCAAGAACACAAGGCTGGCATGGATCGGCAACTTTCTCGCCATCTTTCAATTCGTCGTCATTCCCGCATGCTTGCTTGTGTGTTTCAACGTCTATAGCCCTCCAAGCGAAAGCTACTTTGCACACCTTGCCAAGCGACCGAGCGCATTAGCATCAGCTGGCTCCAGCGCGACAAGCGCTGCGGGCCGTTCAAGTCTCTTTGGACTGCGCGCTGGGACCTCAAAAGACACAACGGTTGAAACAAGAAGTGACACACCACACGATGCAGGCTTGGCCGGGATAGTCGGAGCTGAATTCGACACATTGCTGCAAGCTGTCTTTAACTGGTTCATCTGGTCATTTTTCTTTCTTGCAAGAAATGTGCCAGGATGGTGGTCAACGTTTTTGCGCTTTTCTAGCCCGCTGTTCTCACTGCTAGAAGGTGTGGCCTCAGTCTTGGTCATTCAAGCGGTTGGCAGCATGTCTCGATGGGTGTGAGTAAGATCTGGACGCAAGCATTGTTTCTGCAAAGCTGAAAAATGAGAACCTCTGCCGCTTGCAGTATCGCAACCTCCCTTTCACGGCCGCCGTCTCCTCGCAAGCGCCTCCTTTCGTATCTTCCATCCTTTGGTCTGGGTGGGGCAGAGGGTTGGCAGCTTCTGTTCCTTTTGCTCTCCGCTTTCACCTACGTCTCCTCCGCAGTGGCGCTTTACCTCTCTTTCGAAGGCGCCACACGAGACAGGCCAGGCGCAGCTGCTGCGGTGGGAGTCAGCGTCAGTTCTACGTTCTGGCTGACCGCAATCGCATTCGCCGTTCGCAAGGGCAATGTCGTGGAGACTAGCCTGATGGTGAGCACCTTATTTGCCAGCGTGATGCAAAGTAATGGACTGAAGCAGGACTACGATTTCTTTCGGCAGCTGGCCTACGTGGTGTTCAATGTGACGCAACTATCTGACTCGCTCGCGTTTACCGCCGACCCACTAGCGCTGATTCGGTCATTCAAAGTGAACACCGAATCAGGGTCGCCTTTACCGCTGCTACCATCCGTAGTAGGCTCCACCAAGACGCTCGTCCAGGTAGGCGGGCGAATAGCTGGGCATTCGATCGACTTCATCTCTGCAGCGCTCGCTGCACTGCCAAAGAGCGTCATCGTCAGTTTGCTATATCGCTTGATGGTGCTTTACGCTGCTTCTCGGATCTTGCCCCTGCTGAAGGCGGGCGGGCCGCCGCGCTGGCTTAAACCGGATAAGTCGGATGCAGACGACTATGACGATTACTCAGAAGACGAATACGATTCTGATGAGGACATTCGCGAAGAGGAAAAGCCGCGAAGAAAGGCAGAACAGAAGAGCTTGAGCGAAGAAGAGCCGTTTGGCGCTTGTGAGTTGCAGCTCCGCGTCTGCGTGAACGGCATCGCATCCTTTTCTAACTCCATCACCCCTACCGTAGTCATATCCATCATCGTTTCATACTCAAGGCTGATCATGATCGCGGTCTACTCACATTTGCTCTGTGAGTGGCATCATTCCAGATGACACCAAGAGTTGAGCGTTGCTGATCCATCATCTCCTCCGCAGTGCTTGATCAGAGTCACCAGATCTACTGGCGGTTCCTCACTGTAGGGATCACCCTCACGCTATGGGCATTCGAGCTCCTAATCGGCAAAGAGGATGCCGACGCATTCACGCGCGAGTGGAAAATCAGCTGATGCTGCTGTATGCACTCATGATGAATGTCACTGTACAGATGCGCCTCTATCCTGATCACGCATTCCCTCACCGTCCGCCCTCCGGCACCCTTTCCCTTTCTCAGCTCTTTAAAGGCCTTCCTCAGCTAGGCGCTCCGAGAGCATGATGAAGTCCTCGTCTTCTGCAAAGTCGAAACTGTCATCTGCTGCATTGCCCTTGCACTTGACATGCTCGTCATCGTCCGAGTCGTCGTCATCGTCGATCACGATCGCGCTTGTCGGCGAGCTTCCGGGCGCCTTGACGGGCGAGCGAGAGATGTGAACTGGTGTGGTGAAACCTGAACGGCCCGGTGCTGCTGGGCGCTTTGCGCCGCTGCCCGCCGCCTTAATTGCTGTAGTGCCGCCGGCGTTCCTGGCATTTGCAGTCGGGCAACGGAGGGTAGCGCTAGGGCCCGAGATGCTGCGTCGGGCAGTGCTGCCTAGTTTGCGACGCTGACCGTGATCTTGTGCCAACGCGACTTCGGCCGTGCCATTATACGAAGGCTCATTGGAAAAAGGACGATCTGACTCTTGTACATATCCAACCGGCACGGCTTGTTTTTGCGGACTGATGGAAGCTGTTCGCCAATCGCTCGCCCCGTTTTTGGTGGGTGACATACTGAACCGAGCGGATGACTTCGAAGATGTTCTGGACATCGACCTGATCGCGGATCTGACATTGTTATCTTTTTGCGCAAGAACTCTGCCAGAGGTTCCTGCGGATGTCATCTGTGTTGGGCTTTGCTGCGCGACCGTGGACATAGCGCTCTTCTCGTTCACATTCGACATGATCGAGCGTTGAGTACTTATCGTGGGCGCTGCTTGAACGCCAAGCGGGGGTGATGAAGACCCCATTTGTGGATGCGGGTCCGTGTGATACCGCAGCCATCCTTTGCCTTTATTGCGTCCGCCTGGCCTCCCCGTCTCAACTTGCATGCCGCGAGCTGAGTGACCTTGTGTGCCCTCCCGCGCCTCTTCCTCTGAGCCTGGAGGCGGCGCAGTGTCTGCCCTAGATACAGATGACCGCCTTCCTCCGGAGCTATCACCGTGGGCTTTCATTCGACGCGTCTCGGACACATCTGCGCTCGCCTCTGCTGTGTTTGCCGGCTGGATACCGAGATCGTCGTCGAGACCAGCGAGCAGATGTTCATTCACGTACGCGATGAACTTGCCCGAGTCTGTCGAGTCAAGCTGTGCGCCGTCTATTGATGAATCCTTTACCCCGCCTGATGATGTACGAATTGACCGGCTCCGTTTAACGGGTCTTTGGCGGTAAGTGCGTCGATTTGCCATCGTCAAGCTTCTGCTTGAATCCAAGCTCCCGGTCTCTGCATCACGCTCCCCCATTCTCCTCTTTCCTGCTGCCTTTGCGCTCTCCACGACTGTCTTCCTTGGCGATCTTCCAAGACTTGGGCTCCTCCTTTGCTCTGCCAAAAAGTCATTATTATGGATGCCCAGGTCAAGAGGTGGCAGCGGCGATGCTGACCATTTGCTGGAGCCGATATCGGGCAGAGCTGCGTGCGGAGGCAGGCCACCGATGGCGGACTGCAAAGACGGCGAGGGACTCTCCTTTTTCCAAAATACAATCGCTTGGCTCTGGGGAGGTCTAATGCCACTTCCAGATGGCAGCTGCGAGCCCTGAGACGCGCCGCCGCCGTTGAAGTTGAGCGAGTCAAAGAAGGACTCGGACATCGTGGCGTCGTTCGTTGCACTTGCAAGCCCGGGCCAAGCTCTGTCTTTGCAGCAATCAAGTGACCACGCCGCAAGCGAGTAGCTCTCAGTCTCGTCGCAAGAATGGGAAGGTGTATATGTGTGCTCTTGGCCCGAAAGGATTTAACCATAGAACGCATCCCATTTCGGACTATGTCGACAAAGTCTGAAGGTAGATTGTTGGTCTCTATTGTACTTGGCCAATGGGTGACGACGGGAAAGACGCGACGCGACGCGATTGCTCATCCAGATTCTACCATCTACTTGCATCTCAAACTGCTCGTGTTTCCAACAGGCAACGCAGGTATCCCATAATTCCACCGTCATTTACATCGTTATGGTCTTCTAGGTGGAGGTGGAGGCATAACCCTTCCCCCAGCCGCAGCACCGGCACCTGGCTTGGCAGGAATTGCTGGAAGCTTGGCTCCTCCTGGTTTTAGAGGAAGCGGTGGCTTATTCGAACCCGCGGGAGCAGCTGGCGCGCCATTGGTGGCGCCGCCGTTGGCAGCTGCGGCATTCGCTGCTTTCTTTGCTGCCAGGACCGCTGCGAAGCCGCCCGGGTTTCCCATGCCTGGCATGACAGCTACCGGTGCTGCACCCGCGTCTGGGGCCACCGAAGACGGTCGCTCGTGCAGTTTTGACACAGTTGCCGGCTTTGCTGTCACCGCCGCCTTCGGCAGCACAGCTGGCTTGGCGGTGAGCACAGGAGCAGCTTCAGGCTTGGGTGCGCTTGTCGCTGCGACAAAGGCAGCGCGACTCACTGCTGGACTGCCATTTGTAGCGCTTGATGCTCCAGGAGCCGCAGGTGGTGGCCTTTTGGCTGCTGGTGGAGCAGTCGGCCGACTCAACGGTTTGGGCTTGGGTGGCACCAGTTCGAGGTACGTCGAGGGCGCCCAGCCTTCTAAACCATCTTTTTTAATGAGCCACCATCCTGTGTGCAATCAGAGAGCAGAAATTCAGTATCTCCTCAAGGCCTGAGATGACCACCTCGATACTGACCATTGTCCTCCTTCTGCGTAACCTCGACGTGCTCGTCCTTCGTGAGCGCCATCTCACCGCTTTCCTGCGTATCGAAGTCGTAGAGCGCCTTATACATTGGAACAACAGGTTCATCAGGTATCGCAGCTGCAGCGGGCGGTGGAGGGGGTGGGGCTGGGCCGGATCGTCCAGTAGACGCAGCTCGCGGGACGATGGGGGAGCCCCTATTTGTTACGACCGATGTGGCAGCCTTAAGGCCAGTTCCAGTACCAACGGAGGGTGCACGTGTCGGTAGGGTCACTGGTTTGGCGGCTGGCTTCGGCATGGCACGCGGCTTGGGCCTGTTGTTCGCATTGCTTGGTCCACCTGCACGCAGCAGCTTGCCAGAGGTGATCGGACGCACGACACCAGGCTTTTTCTTTGCTGGAGGACGCGAGAGGCTGCCAGCAGGCTCACCGCTTGGAACAGACACCGTCGAGCTCTTGTAAACATCGTCACGCGGAATGGTCTCGTCTTTCTTGAACGTGATGGAAGCCTTCTTGTCCTTCTTTTTTGAATACTCCAATTGATTTGACACCGTGACGTTAGGGCCGCCGTTGGTTCTCTGCAGGAGGGTAGCGACGAGTTCGGTCTTGAAGTAGCAGTGGAAGACCGGATCTGGCTCCTCGTGAGACCCTGCTATGTTCAAAATGACCCAATCATCTCGCAACGCCGAAAGCCCTACATTGGTGATCTGGCCGAGCAGAATTCTCCTCTCGCACGTGGTCTGTGGCTGCTTGTTGACGAGCTGGGTGACCAAGATGTAGACAGCCTTATCGGTCATAATAAAGAAGCGTGGGCTCGGCTTGGACGAACGGCCCAAGCGCGAGACCAGCAGCTGAATACGAGTGCTGAACACAACCGATTCGGTCGAACCAAAGCCAGAAGCCTGCCGCAGCATTTCACCTTCAACACTGCTACCGCCGACATCCAAGTAATCTCCGGTAAAGCGACGCATGCTGATGAGCGAAAATCGACGTCGCTCTTTCCTTCCTGCCAGAACTTGATGGCCGTAGTCCCTCATCTGAGCATACACGAGAGTTTCCTTCTTGTTCATCCACATACGCTGAATTCGTTTAGCACACTCGTTCTTGTATCTTAGATAGTTGCGGTACTGCAAGTGGTGCAACAGCGTCAGATGCGTTAGTGTAAGTGAAACTGGGCCTTAATGAATCTTGCACCACTTACAGCTCTGCGCGGAAGAATCACCAGCAGAAAGTATGCAAAGGGTCAGCACAAAATTTAGACATTTCCCTCTCACAAGGCGCCGCACCTCTGGATACGCATGGCCATGTTGTGCCAGTACCTATCACGCATGGTCTCAAGCGCAAATAGAGTCTCAGGATTTTTGATGAAAGCTTTAGTGACGCCCATTTGCCACTCCTCTTTCGCGATGCCCGTGTCTTTGAGGATCTGTTCGCATCCGCTCTTGGCATCGCCTTGCCAGATGTATTCGCCTGCGTATGACGTATGCGGAGACAGCAGATAGAATCGCTCGACCATCTTCTCGAAAGTATTCCTGTACGCAAAGCCCGCACGTCGGACGCGGATGTTCTCCTGCAGACCGAGGTACTTGATCTGATGCAAGATCGCGGTGTTGTCATACTCGGTCGGACTCTTGTTTTGGTTCGGCTTGATCGTGCGGATGTACGAGGGCTGCGCCTTCATCAAATTTTCAACAAGTGCGTTTGCAGATGCCTTGATGCGGTCTCCAGCCGTCGGTGGGCGCTTTTTACTATTCGGATCAGGACGATGGGGAAACAGAACACCGAGGAACTTATTCTGAGAGCTGTCGACCAAGTCAAGGATATCCTTCAGAAGCGCATCCTTGTTCTTGTCCGTCATGCCCATCACGTTGTACATCACATCACCGGCGTAGTGCTTGACCAAGAACTGTAAGAAGTAGGGATATGATCAGTGCATCGAACCACACCCCCAACGACTCCACAGAATTCACCTTGGATCCACGCGAGTCAAAGTGGGGGTTTGAGCTGAGCATGCTGAGACGCTGGCCAAAAGAGTTGTCGGCGGCGGTAGGGTCCGCATGCGCAGTGGCGCAAGCGTCATTGAGCGCTGCAAAAATTCCAGGCGGTCGCTTCTCTTCGATGAGATCGCATACAATCTTGTTGTTGAAGTACTTGATCGGTGTCCACTGAATACGCTCAGTTGCGTATTCTTCCTGCTCCTTCTTGAGAGTGAGTTCAATAAAAATCTGCTGCAGCTTTTCGTTGACGTAGTTGATACAAAGCTGTTCGAATGAGTTGTTCTCGAATATCTCAAAGCCGTAGATATCCAGGACGCCAATCACGTTGGCCGAAACGGCACGCGCCTTCATGGACGTGTTGACGCGTTCAACGATCCAATCGAACATGTTGTTGTAGATGGCCTTGGACAGGGCATCACGCACGGAAGCTGCTTGCGCAGGATTCAGCGGGACCTCGTAAACGGAACCGCGCCTGCCGCCGCGTTGGGTCTCCATGATGCGCTGGGTAAGGGCCTTGACAACTGCGGTCGAGTCGACTTCCAGTAGGTAAGCAACAAAGTCCGTCACGCCCAAATCGGAAATCTGCGCGTTCCCATCTTCCATCTCTACAAACTGAGTGTTACCCAGCCAAAGAATCGCAGCGAGCATGCGGAAGACATTCTCCTGCTCATCTGCCGACAGGCCAATGATGTTCATGGCGTTGATTGTCTCCCCAAAGTCAGCCACATCATCGATTCCGTTCACATCGAGACACTGTGAATTTGCCGTGTAGGCATACGCCTCTGGGCCCTGGACGCCAAAGCTTTCGCGCTGCGCAGCAGACGCAGCTTTGGAGAACTGATAGAATATGTGGAAGTTGCGCTCATCGCGAATCTGTTGCACGACGCGCCCCTTTTCGAGCAGATAGTTGGTGATATTTGCGCCGACGGGCTCCCCCTGCGAGTTGAACATGATCTCTAGGTATTTGCCGTGTCGCGAAGAGTTATTGTTTCGCAGCGTCTTGGCGCATCCGAAACTTTCGAGCAAAGGGTTGGTCGCAAGCACCATATCCTTGATATCTTGGATTCCACTCGAGCTGCCTCCACTGACAGCAGCAATGTACTGCATGATCCGCTTGGCCGCTTCCGTCTTTCCTGCACCACTCTCGCCGGAGATAATGACGCATTGGTTCTCCTTGTAAGCCTGCATATTGTAGTAAGCACCTTCTGCAATGGCGTATACGTGCGGCGTCATCTCCAGACGGTTCTTGCCGCGATAAGAGGCAAGGATCTCTTCGGTGTATATGCCAAGATCACGGAAAGGATTGACCGAAATGAGCACATTGCCAATATAGGTCTGCCGAGAGTGTGACATCGTTATCAGCTATAACGTCGTGAGGTCCTGCATCCCACCTCAATGCACTCACATATATCTCAGCATTCTGAAAGCGCTTCTTCAAGTTTTCGTTGATGGCTTCGTTCGTCACTTGGCTTAGCAGGGTCATATCGCTGACGCCGGCCTGAGGCTTCTTAAATCCCTCGCGCCAATCTGCCTTGGTAACTCCTCCAGGTGCATAGGTGCTGCCCCCCTTTTTAGCGGCCTTTGGCGGCGCCGCCACGCCTCCTGCACCTTTCTTCCCAGCTTTTTTCGAAATAGCCATGCTCGCTGATTGGCAGGTTCTTGATACAGTTACTGGGGCTCCTTGTTGCTGCGCTTGCGACCGCGACAGACGAAGACGCGCTGGGTGGAAGGACAGCAAGCGCACAGCAAGGTCGCGTCAGGTGCGCGAATCAAAGCCTGTCAGCACAGGTTGGGAAAGCTCTGGCGCGATCTGAAACACTCCTCGCCCGAGCTACCAGTGCGGACTCTGGCGGATGGACGTATAGCAAATGTGTTACCACCATCTCGCGATCACAGAGCAACGACGACTACAGATAAGTCGATAAGTGCGAGGTTGCGCCGCCGATCGGTATGGCAAATGGTGGTTCAGCACTACTAGTTCCGTGCAGATGAAACTATAGAGGGGGTCTGTGTTGACCCGGTCACACATCAATACACCAGCAACCCTTACCTGCCTAGAGCCCCCAAATTCCGAGTTCCGACCGGAAGACTCGGCTACGAGATCATTGATTGAATAGTAGGGTTGCTGCATTCCCCGCGTTCCCTCGGCTACGAGCGGCCCACCACCGAGAGGCCCCTGCTGCTGGAGAGCAGTGGAGCTGGCTAGCCGCTGGTACGCATGCAGATGCCTTTCTATGGAATTGTAGAAGCGGTTCATAAGAAGTCAACCAGCCGCCAAGGTCTTTCCTGTATCCTATTCCTACCAAGGTGCCTACTCTCTGGTTGCTCTATCGCTGTGTTTCCCAGCCGCAGAACCGAAAGATGCTGCCATCAACGCTCAAAGCTGGTGCTCGCCGCCCAGCGTCGAGGGCGAGCTCAGTGCGCCTCGCCGCGAACCACCTCCAGCCTGTCAGCTCGCAGGTCGTGCGAGCTGGCGGCAGGCAAGCGCCTCTGACAGCTGCACAGCGATCAACTGGGTGCACACAAGCACGATGGATCTCATCTTCCATGCGTCAAAGAGCAACACTGGCGGCAGCTTCGCAGGCCGCTTCATCACACCGCGCGTCCGCGTGCTCCTCATCCTCTGCCACCGCAAGCCGCAAACCGCTCCCCCGCAAGATCTTGATCGCTAACCGAGGCGAAATCACCGTGCGCATAATTCGCACCTGCCGACAACTTGGCATAGCAACTGTCGCAGTGTACTCGGAAGCAGACGCAAATGCCATGCACGTCAAGATGGCAGATGAGGCCTATTGCATCGGTCCAGCCCCTAGTGCAGAGAGCTACCTCAAGATGGACAGGATCGTCGAGGTCGCCAAAATGACTGGGGCAGAAGTATGTTTACAGTGTTTCAATCATTCTTCAATCATACAGAGACTGACCATGTACTCACATTTTGGCTGCGGGCTCAACCGTAGATGATTCACCCAGGCTATGGTTTCCTATCTGAGGCAGCCGAGTTCGCTGACCTGCTGGCAGCCTCGGGAATCGAGTTCATCGGTCCCCCTTCCGCTGCAATCCGTGCGATGGGCTCAAAATCCGCCTCAAAAGAAATTATGCTTGCAGCCGGCGTCCCATGCGTACCAGGCTACCACGGCGCCGGCCAATCCCTGGAGCTCCTGCAAGCCGAGGCAGACAAGATCGGATACCCGGTGCTGATCAAGGCCGTCAAGGGTGGTGGGGGAAAGGGTATGAAGATCGCAACGTCCGCGCAGGAATTTCGCGAGCAGCTCGAGAGTGCGCAGCGCGAAGGCGCTAAGTCCTTCGGCGACCCCACGGTGCTGCTGGAAAGGTACCTCACCAAACCTCGCCACGTCGAGGTGCAGGTTATGTGCGACAAGTTCGGCAACGCCATCTACGTCTGGGAGAGGGACTGCAGCGTGCAGAGGCGGCATCAAAAGATCATCGAAGAGGCGCCTGCGCCGGGATTGAGCGAGGAGCTGAGGAGGGACCTCGGAGAGAAAGCCGTCGCTGCGGCCAAAGCTGTTGATTACGTCGGCGCGGGGACGGTCGAGTTTTTGCTGGATGCAGAGACTATGGGTTTCCACTTTTGCGAGATGAACACGCGTTTGCAGGGTAAGCCTCCAGGCTCTTTTCGCATTTGGCATGCCACTATCGGCTGATGCGTGTCTTCTCTTCTTTCTGTGGACTGTAGTCGAGCACCCTATCAGCGAGATGATCTCCGGACTCGACCTGGTCCAGCTGCAGCTGGAGATCGCAGCCGGAAACCCGCTCACGCTGACGCAGGCTGACGTGCAGCGCAACGGTCACGCGTTCGAGGCGCGCATCTACGCCGAGAACACTCGCGCCAACTTCCTGCCAGATGTCGGGCTGTTGCGCCACGTGCGCCTCCCGCCAACGTCCGAGACGGTCCGCGTCGACACGGGCTTCGGCAGCGGCGACGAGATTAGCGTGCATTACGACCCGATGATCGCCAAGCTAATCGTACACGGCGCCGATCGTAAGGATGCGCTGCGGAGACTCAGCCGGGCGCTCGAGCAGTACGAGGTCGTCGGACCGAAGACCAATATCGAATTCCTCAAGAACCTCGCCAGCCACCATGCGTTCATCGACGGCAAGGTCGAGACTGCATTTATCGGGGTGAGTTGAGTAGAACTTTCACCGCGCCATCTGCACCAAGTTCACTGAGACCTTTATCTCTTTCTCCGCTTAGAAATACGGACACGAGCTGCAGCCGCCCATCCCTCCCCCAAGTGCGACAGCGCTCGCCAACGCAGCGCTCTACCTCGCGCTGCGCGACGCTCACGCCGTCGCCGCGACTGCTGCGGGCGCGTCCGTCTGGACGCGGCTCAGCGGCTTCCGCAACACACCGTCGCAGCTAGCGTCGCGCGTCTTCGAGTTCCGCGCCACAGCGGCGGGGACTGAGGGGGCCAAGGAGGAGGCGCCGGTTAAGTCAATCGTCACGCTTGAGCCGGTCGCGCTCAGCGGTGATCGATTTAACCTCGTTGTCGAGCATGGCGCGCAGGGTAAGGAGAAGCAGGTGTACACAAACGTCCATGCGCGTCTCTCCGTGGACGGAACGGCCGTCGTTGCGTCTGGCCTCGTCTCCGAGTCGCCTTCCCCAACATTGGCAGGAGCGGTAGAAGACCATACTCCCGCCTTCGCTCTCACACGACGGTCAACCACGACGGTGATTTCGCGCAAGCCGACGCGTGCCGAGGCAGCCACGAGCGGGCGGTCGTCCGAGAAGCTGGACATCTTCGTTGACGGCGTTCAGGTTGAGCTCGAGGTCGCTGGGCCCGCGTGGTTGGACGAGGTGCTGGGTCGCAAGGAATCGGCAAAGGGGAGTGTCATCTGCCCCATGCCGAGCAAGGTGGTGGATGTGCGTGTCAGAGTCGGACAGGAGGTTGAAGAGGGCGATGTGGTGATTGTGTTGGAAGCTATGAAGGTATGTCATTGATGCCTGTCTTTCTGCTTGAAAAGAGGCTGACTTTGCTGACTGACCCGCGCTTTGCTCTAAAGACTGAACACGTCCTCCGTGCGCCGAAATCGGGTAAAGTGGCCAAAGTGGCCGTCTCCTCTCCAGGCGAGCTCGTCGCCGAAGGCGTCGAGCTTGTCCAGTTCGAGGAGACAGATGACAGCGCGTAACAGGATGAACTTGTAGAACAGAAAGTATCTTAGGGATGTATATGTCGCACTTTTGGCATGCTCGACACTCCTTGGTTGCACATCATGACCGCGTCCACATTTGCAACTCGTACGATACATCGCCTTCGGTCTGGTCTGCGCCCGCTTTCACGTGCTCGGACGCTGCGTCCCCCAGCCACGCCAGCAGCTCCGCATGTGGCGCCTTGCTCCATGTCGTCGTGGGCGGCGCTGTAGCATTCGACATGGAGCTGATTATGTTACCCGATGGTTCTGCCGCGTCCTGTGCGATCTGTGCCTCGCTGCGGAATTCATGCAGAAATGTGTCGCAGTCCGGAAATGCCGGTGATTTGATGCGGGTGATGAGAAGGCGTTCAAGATCGAACCCCTCGCTAGTCGGATTGCGCAAAAAGTGGTTGTACAGCTGCGCTCCACCTATTAAAAATGCCCGCGGTGAGCTTTTTTTCTGTCCCGATTCCTGGGCGTAGGCCAACAAGCCCGATGCCTCGGAGATGCTTGAGGATAGATGAGAGTCTGTTGATGCATCACTTGGAGGGGGGTACACCGCGGCCAGTCAAAAACTTCACTTCACGTGCCGTAGCTGAACGGATCCTCACATTCCCAAGGAACTCGCATCGGCCGTCCTACTGATGACAACATTTACCCTGCCCGCCAGCGGCCTGAACTTGGGCGGTATGCTCTCCCACGTGTTGCGTCCCATTATGAGGAAGTTCTTCCGGCTGATGTCATTTGTGAGAGAGGAACTGTCCCCAGATTCAGGATGCGGAGGAGGCAGTCCTAGCCCACAAGCGCTGGTCACCTGCTTGAAGTAGGCCATCTCACGCTTGAGACGCCAGGGCAAGGTGCCACCCTTGCCGATGCCGTTCTTTGGCGAGCACGCGACGATCAGTGTTAAAGGTATTGGGCCGGGCATGGCCGGTGATGGCGACTGCGAAGGCGCCACACCCTCACTCATGCTCGCATTCAAAGCGATGGCTCAGAAGGCGCCCTGCGCTGCTTTTTGACAACTCGCGGATGCCAGCGCTGAACAGAAGCTGGTGTTGATGAGGGGCGATGGCAACAAGCCGAGTCTACGTTGGTGCAAGGTTGAGAGACTTTGAGGCTCACTGTAACAGAAGAGACCAACACTTTCTTTTCGTCCGCCACACGGAAATGCCACCCGGCACGAGGCGAGCCGCGACACGAGAGAGTGGCGACGCGACGCGATCCTCTTCGCTGGCTTGTGTTAATCAGCCGCATGACACTGAACAATGATCATTCAATCATCAGGGTCATTAGGAAGTCAGAGACCATCTTCCACGCCGTATTGCCATGCTAGTGATCACCATTCCTTCGTATCCTTGCGAGCACGGTTCACGGGCTCTTCGCTATGTCCTCGCGGGATGATCTAGTGTGCGTATATGCAGAAACACTGTCAAACGAGCAAGCGAAAGGCAGTGGTAACTGAAAGCTGACATCCACTTGAGACCCGAACCACAATTCTTTGATGCCGCTTTCGTCTCACTCAACACACACATACAGCCAGAATGCCAGGACGGAAGCTGGCCCTTACCAGCTCACTCAGGCCAGTGCGTACGGATCGCTGAGAGGAAATTTCACCGTGCGGAGAGTTCTTTGCGCTCTGACACCCCGAGCTTACTGAATTACTCGCAGCCCACCCGGATGTGATCAAAGTCATGATTACAACAGACAACCAGTGAGGCACTGACTCCAAGATATGCACCAACTCTAAGAATGACTCACGCAACATTTTCCACAGTATCGGTTACATGGAAAATGATCCGGTCCGAGGTCAAGATGCCATCAACAGCTTCCGGGAAGCGCTCGAGATTGCAAAAGAGGAGCAGGTGAGCATCAGGCAAGGCCATGTCACTCTGATATAAGCACTTTCAAGGTCCTAATTTGATCTAGCCCCTTCGCACCTCAATCGCGCGGTGAAATGCAGGTGGACATGATCTTGTTAGGAGGAGACCTCTTCCACGATAATAAACCCAGCAGGAACACACTGCACCAGGTTATGGCTGCGCTCAGGGAGCATACACTCGGAGACAATCCATTGCCACTCGAATACATCAGCGATCCGTTCGACAATGCACTTGGCAACTACAGGTGAGAGTAATTTTGATTGAAGGCATCAAGTGTTCAGGCGAGCGCCTGCTGACACGAGGCATGACGCTTGACTCTCAGCTTTGGGGCGGTGAATTACGAAGATGGGAATTTTAACGTCGCCATCCCAGTCTTCTCCATACACGGAAACCATGACGACCCACAAGGGCTTGGCCCAGATGGTGCGCTTTCCGCACTAGACATCCTCGCAACGGCAGGGTTGATCAATTACTTTGGTAAGACAAACCTGGTCGTCGGACGCAATGGCCCCCAAAATAGCTCTGGTAATCCAAGCATCGGCCCTGCCAGAGCCAATTACGCAGGCACGCAGGGAGACAGGGACATCAAGATTCGTCCTGCGCTTCTACAAAAGGGGACTACCAAGCTTGCGCTGTACGGCTTGGGCAACCTGCACGATGAACGCCTGGCGATGGAGCTACGCATGCGCAGAGTCAGGATGTATCAGCCGGTGGAGGATCGGGATGAATACTTTCATATGCTGGCATTGCATCAGAACAGGTGAGTACTCTGGGCCTTCTCTCTTTCCTCTTCTACCCTTTGAGCCGCCTATCTGCTATTCGTTCGCGTGCCAGAGTGGGGCACAATCCCAAAGCAGTCGTTCCGGAAGGCATCTTCGACGATTCGCTGCATCTGCTCATCTGGGGCCACGAGCATGAAGAACGTGCTGATCCAGAGCAAGTTCCCGATAAGCCATATCGCATCTGTCAGCCTGGCTCAACGGTGGTTACTGCTCTAAGCAAGGGCGAGGACAAGCCCAAGTGAGTGGCGCACATTTCCAGTCGTTTTGTTATCCCCTCCTGGGCTTGTCACTGAATTTGGATTTTCTCCTTCCCCTTGCTGCTGAACAGGTGCGTCGTCATCCTCAAGATCCACGGGAGAGATTACGAGGTGACAAAGCGAGAACTCAAAAGTGTCAGACCGTTCATCATCGAGGATCTCGACCTAGAACAGGAGATATGTGAGAGGGGCATCGCACGGTTGGACAATGACAAGTCCAAATTCGAGATCCAAAGGATGCTGGAGAACAAAATCACCGGCCTGATTGACCGCGCACGGGATCAGTGGAAAGCGAAGTACGAACATTTGCCCCAAGAACATGTTCCAGACATGCCACTCCCTCTTATCCGTCTGCGTGTCAACTATGAGAAGCACGAGGTCGGCAACCTAGCACGCTTCGGCCAGAAGTTCGTCGGGCAGGTCGCCAATCCAAAAGATCTGCTAGGCTTCAACAAAAAGCGTGCGGCGATCAGACGTGCTCGTGAGCTTGCATATCTCGGTTATGCGGTTGAAGCGGCTGAGCTGACAACTCTTGTTCTTTCATTTGAATTTTAGGGGACCATCCGGAGTTTGTCGACGTGGATGTAGACATGGACGACATGGTCGTTTCGGAGCGGCTGCAGAAGCTGGATCTGGGAAAGATCGTTGGCGAAGTCATTCGCAATCAAGAACTAGAGTGTTTACCCGGTGCAACTCTTGACGAGGCAGTGATGCAATTCGTAGAAAAGGACTCGTGAGTTGTTGCATTCAACATATCTTGCAGGGCAGGTAAGCTAATGGCGGGCCGCGCTGACTCTCATGGGCTCCTCGCGCTCTTGCTCCTTGGATAGGAAAACATCGCTTGTGGACGCCATCAAGTCTGTCTTGTCGCGGCAGTTGAGAGAGACGTTGCCCAAGGCGAAGGATATTAAGGATATCGACGACGCTGTAAGTTACGATTTTTTGTCCAGCTTGACATTACTACTCGCCATTCTGACAAGGCAAATCCTAATTCTGAAGCTGAGAGAGGCTCATGAAGTTGAACTCGAACGCTCGGAGAGGCGGCGCGGCGTCCAGGAGAAGCGATCCGCCAAGCACAGCGTACCGGCGATGGGCAAAGACAAGGCGCAGGCTTTCAGTCGTCGGCAGGCGCAGCAGCAAGAGGTAGAGGAGGAAGAGGAAGAAGATCTGATGATCGACATGGACGATGATGAAGACCAGTTCTCCAATGAATCAGCTGTGTTCAAGAAGCCGCCATCGTCAATGAACCGAGGTACAAAGCGGGCCGCATCCCCACCCGAGCGAGCATCGACGAGGAAAGCTGCGGCAACCTCACCCGCAGCGCGGGGCAGGCCACGAGTGAAAGAACCCCCCATAGTAAGTTCTCTGCAATCTCACGCGGGGTGGATGAATGATGAACAATCGTGGCTCGCTCGCAGTTCCGTGGCGGCGACTCGGATTCCTACGGAGCCTTCGATGACGGTGATGACGATCGTGACTTTCAAGAGAGCGAGATTGTACCCCTGGACGATAGCGAAGACGACGATGCAGCTTCCATGTCACCGCCACCGGCTCGACCAAAGCCAAGCGGCCGAGGTGCAGTTCTTTCCGGCATCGGCAAGAAGGCGCCAGCAAAGCGCGACGCGGCAGCGGTGTCGCAAGATCAGCCGCCCAGCAAGAAGCGCGCATCTACGAGAACCTTGTCCTCCAGCTTTGCAATGCCGTCGTCCGCAACGCCCGCGGCAAGAGCCAGAGTGCGCAGAAGCGCGGCCAAAGTTGCGCAGAGCAGAACGAGCAAGATGGTCCAAGGGGCTACAAGCAGCGTGGACCACGACGATGACGTTGATGCCTTTGAGTAGGGGCATTAGGTGAGATCCCTGTAGCATAGGTGTACTTCGACGATATATTCTCTCCTTATTACATTAGCAGCACGACAAAGTTGCTAGGGAACGTGTTCGCGTTTGGTCTCTGCACGTAATACGTGAATGCAAGTCAGTATCGTGCACTGTATCTGACCCTCGCTTCCAAGAATATTGACTCACTCTTCGCGCCTCGTCCAAGAGCTCGCCTTGCCACCACCCATCAGCTTCGGTATGTGTGACCGCGATGATGTCACCGGCGGTAAAGCTGAACTCCTCCGCCGTCGTTGCAGAATAGTCATAGAGGGCTTTGACTTCACAACACAGTAAGATATATGATGGGAGATATAGAAAGAAAACTCAGTACGCCTCCCTCTCCTCCAGAACAGCAGTTTCAAGTACTCACCATAGAATAAGATAGGTTTGCCAGTATCGCTATATTGGCCTGTAGGAGGGTGCTGGCTGTACGAAGGCTGAGGAGCAGCCGGCTGCTGTTGCTGTTGTGGAGCAGAAACCGACGAATGCGCATGCTGCTGCGGCGCAGCCCAAGCCTGCTGCTGTTGCAGATTCTGCGGAGCAGCAGTTAGCACGCCCATGCCAGACGTGGAGTGCTGCATGTTGTTCTGACGCTGGTATTCGTGCATGTACGCCGCAGCGGGCGTCTCCGATGCCGACACTTGCACCGACGTGACGGCAGCTGGCAGAACAGCACCATACCCGTTCGGCAGCTGCTGCTGCTGTGGCGGCGGTGGTTGCTGTTGCTGCGGGGCATACGGATTTACAAATACCTGCGATACGGCAGGAGGACCGCCAGCATATGTAGAAACGGGGTTGTACAGATTCCCACTGGTTGTGCGCCCGATCGAGCCGGCCATGGCTGCTTGCGACGGCTGCGCGTAGGAAGACATCTGCTGTTGGTGCTGAGGGGCAGGAGAGATGGGACGCGCATAAGGACCCTGTTGGTGTTGCTGATGCTGCTGTTGTTGTTGCTGTTGTTGCTGCTGTTGCTGCTGGGCTGGCCAGCCTTGTTGTTGGTACGGATTAGGCATCTGCCCCATCTGACTGTTCATGGAGCCCTGCGGAGCCATCGCGGGCGAATGCATCGGCTGTTGCGGCTGCGATGGGGGCGGCGCCTGCTGAGCAATTTGTTTCCGATACTGCTCTGCGAGCTGATCGTGCGTGACAGAGCCGGAAGCATCAAGCGAGATGCCAAGCGGAGTCGACGGCCGCCCTGGTTGCTGCTGTCCTCCGGAGTACGGCGCGGGGCTGGGACTGCGACCTCTTGCACCGATACCCGCGAACCCCGTCGGTCCCGCTGCGCCTGCCTCAGACGGCACGGGGCTCCTGGCCTTCTCGGGCGGCTTGACCATCTGGCTCGGCGCGGCGCTTGCGCTCCCGCGCGACGCGACCGAGTTCTGGCGCGACAGCGTCTTGCGTTCGCCGGGGAATGCCTGGCCGTATGTCCCAACGACCTGCTCGACGGGCATTGGCGACGACGCGCGCTCGGGCGCCTGCATGAACGCCGCCGATGGCGAGCGCGGGCGGTGCTGGCTCGCGCCCGCTTGTGCGTAATTCTGCAGCAACTGCTGCTGGTGCCCTCCGGGTGCTGCAAAGCTACCACCGTGTCCGGGTTGCAGTTGCGGGGACGTACCGCCACTGGCACCGCCGCGGCCTATCTGAGGCCCTGGACTCTTCGAGGGTGGAGGCGGCCCGCTGTCGCCGCGAACCGAACCAGGAGCGGGGCTCTTGGCGCCGCCCTGTCGCATGCGTAGATTCGCCAGGGCCTTGGCGATCGGGTCCTCTTCTTCCACTTCTGCCTGGCCTCCTGCTCCTGTCCCCGCTCCCGCTCCCTCTCCTGCTCCAGCTCCTACTCCTCCTGCCCCTGCTACTGATGCGTCTGGCCCCGGCAGGCCGCCGGTGGTGGTGCTGCCATTGGACTCCTGGTTCGCGTTGTTGCGCTGGCGGAGCGAGGGTGCGCGCGCGATAAAGTTCTTCGCGGACATGCGCCTGTTCAGCCTATCGTCGCTGGCGCCGGCGCCTGTTGCTGCGCCGTCGAGACCGCCCTCCCTGTTGTCCAGCCCTGCTGCGCCTGGATGCTCGTACTCATCACCGCCCCCGGGTGGTCCGGATGATGGCCCGCCGCTCCTGCTCCCCGGTGTCCCTGCTTGCGGCGCCATGCCTGGAAGAGCTACGGCGCCGGGCGGAGGGACGAAGGCAGAAGAGTTGGGCGCTCCGGCTGATCCGGAGGATGGTAGCGCTTGTTGTGTGGGTATCTGCTGCGGCTGCGGCTGCTGCTGCTGCTGTTGTTGTTGTTGCTGCTGCTGCTGCTGCTGCAGTGCAATAGGCGACTGCGTCGGCCTGGTGCTGTTGCGCTGGAAGTTGGCCATCTTGTACGCGGGGCGCGGCGGGGGTGCCTGTCCCCGGGCATAATTGATGTAGTCAGGTGCGTCAGGTATGTGTGATCCGGTGCCGCGGGACTGGATAAAGTAGTGAATGTCGCGCAGCGTCTCGGTGTTCTCAAGCGCGACGCGCACGCGCTCGCACGACTCGTCGTCCGTGACGCAGATGGCCGAAACGGCGTTTGCGTAGTTCCACATGTTGGACTTCATAAAGTCCAGTCGGTCCTCCTCGGCATCCTGCGACTGGTCGAGGAAGGCCTTCCATTCCTGGTTCCACTTCATGGTCGTATCCTTGAGCGCGCGCACTAAGTTTTGATATTCCTTCTCGTTCGACGAGACGGTGCTCTGCGCCTTGTCCAGCTTTGAGTGCACCTTGTCCAGGTCCCGCCCCTGCACAAGGCTCGACTGTGCCGTGTAGCCATTGATCTTGATGCAGTCCTGCTCATAGCGCTCGCGAGACTTGTTGACGTACGTCTCTTGCGTCTGCTTGTGCTTGTGCAGCTTTTCGATCGATGCGATGGACTGAAGAGAAGAGAAGAGAAGAGAAGAGAAGAGAAGAGAAGAGAAGAGAAGAGAAGAGAAGAGAAGAGAAGAGAAGAGAAGAGAAGAGAAGAGAAGA